CATGGACCAACCTGGTATGAGAGACTCCGTGAGCATCGTGCGGACACTCCTCAGTATAGCTCAATGGGTCGTCGAGGTACACAAACCGCCAAACCACGGTAAGGTTCAGTCTCTTTATGACGGTGTTTTGGCATTCTAACGGGCGATCGGTATGATTGAACACCCATCCATCTGTCGGACTGCATGGGTCAAAAACTAAGTCAGCCTATTGGATAAGTTCAATGTAGACGGCGTTTGTCCACCCCACAGAGTTCACAATCATTTCAGAGTTGAGCAATTCACACTGGTCCTGCATTTCTTTCTCAAACCATCCATAATAAGCGTCCTTTGTGTTATGCGTGGTTAACACCGGTGTTCTTTGATCACCTTCCCGATATCGGACAGAATCGTTGCTCATTAGATCCCCAAAACATGACTTCGTGCCATGTGATTGAAATACACTGTTGAATTCGATCTGATTACCAGCTCTCTGATTGAACATACGGACAAAGTCATATTTCTGGAAGATGATGATATTGCAGCCGTTAGTGATGGGCAACTAACCATTCATCGGTTAGATCGTCGGGCAGACGATTCCACCACACGAGAAGTTGTGACGTTACAGCTGGAACTGCAACAGATTATGAAAGGTGAGCTCCAGATTGTTTACTGTTGTCTCATTTATTCCATTAGAGGGCTGTCCCTTACCATTAATCTGAGCATTTCGACTGGATTTCATTGTGTTGCTTTTCACCGCGTGACATTTTCCGTTTATAGATTTAGCTGACAAATCGTTCAGCTGTAGCACCCTTTCGGTGCCCAACTGCCATGCCACCCGTAGGAAGCACGAGGACTGGGATACTGCCAGGATGCCCAAGACTAGACAGGGGAAGTCGAGAGGCAGAGGTCGGGTTCGAACCACAGACCTTCAGGTCATTAAATTCGCGCTCTAACCACTGAGCCATCTCGCCCTACCTACCTGACAAATGACCTTCTCATCAGGGAACCTTCGCTTATAAGAGCTGCACTAGGACGTGGCAGTGTTTGGAAATGTCGTCAGGATGTAGCAGATAACAAAACCAAATTGTTTATTCATACATGTGAATCTTCGATGGAGCTACTTTCGGAAAATCAAGTTGTTTGCGTATAAATTGCCTCACCACTACTATATCGAATTTGTAAATATGCGCCTGGAGTATCCACGAGCAGACCTTGGAAAGTGTTCCAAGTTTCTCTCAGAAAGTTGATCTTCTTCTATAGGACCCTTATGTATCTTCTTGGTCTATAACGTTATTCAGCGAAGACTTTGTTGAGCAGTGTGAAATTCCCAACTCGGACGCAGTCTGGCCTCGCTTGCGTCCACTTAAACGCTTCACTCACTTACATCCTCACGTGTAAAGCATTCCGTTTACATCTGCTCATTGGTTGGCTGAGATCCTACTTAAGTTCTAGTCAAAAGGGAATAACAGACTTGTGTTACATGCCAAGTAAGCAATTAGGATAAATCAAACTTTCCCCGACTGATATTGTAAGTATTTACTGTTTTTGTGTTGTTCTCAAGCTGCTTTGGTTGGCGTCCTTCCGCCGAAACCCGGTACAAATCATCTCGTAGGCCCAGAACACTCCGACATCTGTGTAAGGAGCATACGGTTGTGGGGATAAAGCATTCGTCAAACCCTATTCTCTCTTTATGCAGGCCGATATTTCAAGACTGTACACTTTTTGCGCGGATTTCATCTTGTGGTCAAGCAGAAGGCCGTTAGATCTCTCTTTGATCAGAAAACAAAAAAATATGTTGAGAATATCGATCGGTTATGCTTCCGGTTTTCATTTCTGAGAGCAATCTTGTCGGTAGTCTGAGTTGTATGGACACACAGATTACCGCGGTATTTATCGATGACAATAAACTGAAAAAAGCTCCGCGGATTAGTGAAACTGACAAGGCGCTGTGCAACCGAACTTTTGTGACGCTTCATCACTTGTGTTTTCAAGGAACCACGCATTACGTAGGGGTGGAGGACCGACAGAATTACACCGCCACTCACACCGCAGTCTTTGTTAAACCGCCACGGCAATCGAGTCTTTTATTCACCCCACTGTCTTTCTGGTGATATTGTGCCGCTCATCCGCGGTTTTTGAGTCCCGTTGACATTTGATTGTATCTTCGTCATCGGGATACCATACGTGTTGCGTTCCTTGCGGAAGCCTTCACAGATCGGTGTGTGAAAACGTGCTCAAAACTTCTTGGCATTATCGCTAAGCGGTAACACCCTTTCGGTGGATAGTTACCGGGAAACTGAAACGAAGAACTATCGATGCCCAGTTAGGCTGCACTAATTTCGGTAGGTATAATCGGAAAGCCAGGGTTGGGCTCGAACTATGGACCTTATGGGCAGCACTTTCATGCTTTGGCCACTGTGTCATCTCAGGTCCAAACTACAAAACTGCCTTCTTAAGCGCCTTTTCAGGATCGATAGCGCACCTTTGTGCACAAGAATCTCCATCTAGCAAACGCCATAGTCCCGTCCCTGTTCGGAATAAGGACTTCGCTTCTGTGGAGTTCCTCTCCAAGTGGACCAGTTTAGGCTTGAAGTTTTCACTAAGTTGGCTGGTAACATTTTGATACGTATTTTTCAGAACTTTTGTTTGACTAATTCGTTGAATCCCTTGTGTGAATATTCACCGTAAAGCCTGTTTTGTCTTGTCATGCAACTACCATGGATTGGCTTCGTTGCTAATCAGCCGCATGCCACCAATGAAAAGAAGAAGGCCTACGCTGCGGAGTTATTCATTAGAAAATACCAACTGACCAGTTACAGACTATTGGACAGGGAAGTAAAACTCTCATTTGCATCTTATTTACAAAAACTGGACATCCGTCTTCTCCTGAAATTTCCTGGATATTCATTGGCTCCAATCATTCATTGCTCAAATCCATGCAAATGCTACAAAGAGACTCCACGACATCCGCAGCGGATGTCCCTTTTTCAAGAGACACAAAGCGAATTTACAAGAACAAAACATACTACTCGCATGCCTCCCCATCAGTAGTATCACCGTTACACCAAGCCGACATCGTCCTAATTTGTTTCGGTTTGTCAGTTTGGGATGTCAAATAGACGTTGATCTCTGTTTGTGAATCCGATTTGACGTCTAGCAGTAGGTTGTTAGGGCGAGATGGCCCTGGTGGTTATAGCGCGAAGTTAATGACCGGAAGGTCCGTGGTTCGAATCGGACCACTGCCTCTCGACTTCCCCTGTCTAGGCTAGGGCACCCTGACAGTATCCCAGACCTCCTGCTTCCCTCGATTACCATGGCAGTTGGACACCGAAGGGGTGCTACAGATGAACGATATCATGTTCACACAGCAGTGTGAAGTCACCCACCCACAGGTGCCTCGTTACCGATAACGGGAATCGCTGCAGCTACTGTTCATGACTTTAGTTTTTATTTAATTAGCGTCACTTAAACTATCTAACTAAAATTCATCTCTCCCATAGGCAACTACGACTACTTCATGCAGAAGGAGATTTTCGAGCAACCCGAATCTGTGATGAACACCATGCGGGGCCGCGTCAATTTCGACTCAAGGACGGTTATTCTAGGTGGTTTAGCAGACCACATGACTATCATTCGTCGGTGTCGACGTCTCATCTTCATCGGTTGTGGAACAAGTTTCCACAGTACGATTGCGGTAAGCAGTACGAGTAGTCGTGGTGCTCTGTTTCAGAGTGTTTAAGCGAAACGAAAGTTTCCAGCTCATGTTCCCTACGCACGTTTTCTCCCGTTCCCCACCATGCAGACGCGGTCTTTGCTGGAGGAGCTTTCAGAACTGCCCGTTATGGTGGAACTGGCCAGTGATTTGTTAGATCGCAGAACCCCCATTTTCCGCGATGATGTGTGCGTATTCGTGAGCCAATCAGGAGAGACCGCGGACACTTTGTTGGCCCTACGCTACTGTCGTAGCCGTGGGTCGTTCACAGTGGGCATAACCAACACAGTGGGCTCGTCGATCTCACGAGAGACTCACTGCGGTGTTCACATTAATGCTGGTCCAGAAATCGGTGTAGCAAGCACTAAGGTGAGTTGTTGTACGTTTGGAGAACGAAACAGGTTTTTGAACTACGTTCATAGGGAATGTATAAATGTTCCTCTTCTTCGATTCCACATTTGAAAGAGTCAAAGATCGGGGATAAAAGGTGAACTTTTGTCTACGAATTGAACTCTCGAAGGGGATATAATTTCGTACTTATCTTCTTTTGCACCTCTAGGCTTATACAAGTCAAGTGATTGCACTTGTGATGTTCGCCCTCGTCTTGTCCGAGGACAGAATCTCTTTGCAGCCAAGACGTGAGGCGATCATTGATGGACTTCGAGCATTGTCAGGTCAGTTTGACTCACCTCTTCTCATCTCAGTTCATCTTCGAATGAAGTCTGATTTGTGTTGTGTCTGTTAGACGGGGCCGATCATTCTGTCTGTGTAGATGGCTTAGTGATTAGAGCGCGAATTTACGGGCAACTTGGCAATATCCCAGACCTTTTACTGACTTCGGGTAGCATGTCAGTTGGGCACCGAAAGGGTGCTACAGCTACAAGACTATCTCACATCCTCTGTGTCCTTTTGTTGTCATTCTACTCAAGTTGGCTTCAGACAGAAAACATATCATGAATGCCGGTTAGTTGAAGCGTAGTCAACTTTCGGAACTGACGCCTGACGCTAGGTCAGTTCTTACTGAGCACAAAACAGGGCACAAAACCGACATCTCCGTGCAACCACTTTTTTGTCACTATTCAGGACTAGATCACAACGTTTCGGCATTTCGCCAGTACTCAGACACATCTTCAGTGATAGTCATACCTGATGGATTCAGTCAACTTGAAGCTTTTCGCGAACTGGAAAATAAAACGGTTCGATTATCGTGAGAAAATTCCATTATAATCATGTGGAACTCAGGTTCCGTGGGAAAACGTTACGTCATAACCTGACTCTTGGAAATTTATACACTGAACTTGTGAGTAGTATGGCGGGATAAAACCACATGAAATGCTAGAACTATCGATCAGAAAAGATAGGCCTTTCTAGTTTGCCATGATTATGACTACCCCATACAGTGATCCGTTTAGGCTGGCAACTATTACGTTATTAGTCTGGATTAGAAGGGCTGTTTGGGGGCGAGGCGATAACAATTACTGCACACATATCTTCTGAAGATCTATATAGTCGAATATTGTAAACTAGCTGTTCTCAGCACAATTCAGTCTAGTAGACCCAGTCTCCCTTTTAATTGTCGATGTTCAANACGAGTGTATGGTCCGGTTCAGCATAGTAGTACACCACTCTAAAGCGAAGTAGACCGGGCACTATGCTAATATCTATATTTTTCGCCCCTTAGCATGCAACCTGATCTTGTCCAGAAGCCAAAGCACCTGTTCTCGCGGGGGCTCATTGAAGAGGACTGAATAATTAATTGATTTAATTAATTAATAATCGTTCGGCTGCAACCGCCTTTCAGTGCCCTTTTGGGTTCGAACCAGGGACCTTCCTGTTCGCTCCTTAACCTCTGATCCTCCTCTGGTTGACCTTACTGAAGATGGGTTGCCCACTAAAGTTTGTAGTGTCAGATGGAATTGTCGATAAAGATTTTTCGAAGAATCCTTTGTTGGTGATCTTTCGGCGCAATTTCTATCCTGATGGTTGACTCGTTTTCTAGCAGATTAATGATGTAGCGAGATTTGGGTGAACATGCACCGACCGACTTATCTGCCCCCTATGATGACCCTCATCGTCATTATTTCTTCCTTCCTCTTAGTTCTATGGACAGCTATTCAAACGTATCCGAGACTGCTGCCAAGCTACAAAGCCTCAATACACAAACTCCAGTCCCAACTTGGTAGGCACCGGTTATTAAGTTGACCCCAAAACCGCTTTTCGGGTCANTTTCGTTCGGGTCATGTTTCGAACGGGATACACATGGCGAAGCCCGAGATCTTGGGTGTATTTTCGTCTGAATCCACAATGTACACTCCGAAAAAAAACTACACAGGCTTTGCTGTTATTTTGACCCCAAGCAGAACTTATACACCAGGTTAAAAACACGATGATTGGCCAGGTAGCAGGACTACCGTGTGAGATAAGCACAATGGGGGACGAGATGGCCTGAGTGGTTAGAGCGCGGATTTACTGACCGAAAGGTCCGTGGTTCGAACCCAACCTCTGCCCCTCGACTTCCTCTGTCTAGGCTTGGGCAACCTGGCAGCCCTCGTTCTTCCATTGGGCGGCATGGCAGTTAGGCACCGAAAGGGTGCTACAGCTGAACGATAGGTGTGACTGCTACAAACTTGCAAAGCTGTATCTTTTCCGATCCTTTTCAAATAGTCTGTGTGCTGTGTTCGTTTGTGTGGCTGTAGGTTCGCATAGTTAGCTGTATAAGACTACTTGACTATCCGGTCTTCGTGAACCCTGCCTCGGTTGCTACCTCAAGCGCTTTGAAGATGAGTTCAAATTGACGTTCTTCCAAGGGATCTCCATAATAGCAAATAGGTGGCCACTATATCCACCCGAATTCGTCACCGGGATGTACTACCAGTGCAGTGGCCACACAACGGAGCTTCCAATGATGAACGACCCTTGCTTTAAGCTTTAGTTTGTCCAGCTCTTATCCTGAAGGCTGTAAGTTCGAACCAGCCACCCTCCGCTGCAAATTCGTGCAGGGTGGGCGCTGTTGGTGAATGACACAAAGCCTGCTTGGTTTCGAGAAGGATGAATTCAATGAATTTTCAAAAAAAAACGGATGCTTGGTTGTTTAGCTTGTACTTCAATCGCGGAAAACATCAACTGGAGTGGCAGCGCCTGCCGAAACGCCGTCTACCGAGACGATTGCTGTTTTCCGTGCCTCCTTCAGAAAGGTGCAAGCCGCGAGGTGGTCAAATTGGCGGAGAGGTGTTAAATAGACTAGGAAGAATTTGGTTTTATTGATGTGGTACAGGATGAAGTCCCCGTTACCCCTCCTGCGCTGGGCTGGAGACAAAGAACCTTGGCTGATCTACGTCAGTGGCGTTCGGGCTTTCAGTTTCTTCCAGATTGACTGACTGACCACTTGAATTCTTGGGATAAGGTGGTAGAGCTGAACCCGCTTCACTGAATTGGATCTCAGGGAACAGTCGTGTTTGCGGTTATCGGGTCATCCATCTCCTTGAAGCTCAACGCCTTGGCATAGAAAACGGTGCCTCTTCGTGGTGTTAGCTTATGCCCCAACAGACTGCAGTTCTGACGCTGGAAAGGGTACTTTCAATCGAGAGTTATCTGGACTCATTTATCAAGCAAGAAACACTGACATTTTGATGCTTTCGAGCGAAATGAATGCACAAATTGGGGTTCTGAGCTCCTTGGAATCACATTCGGACGGTCGATTCAGAGTCTACGCTCATCGCACAGACAATGGAGATCGACTCCTTTAATTATGTGCCAACCATCAACGATTTCTGGCCAGTACTTTCGCATCGCGTAACCTGGAGGCCACAAACTGCAAATCAACCGTGGACCCAGTCGGATCACGTGGACTTCAGCGGCCTGTGGAGTGCTACAATTCAAGACTATCGTGTCTTCTGGGGCACACAATTCCATTCCGATCACGCTAGCAAGAGGCATCTTCGAAAAACTATCAGAGCTCAATAGTGTTGACCTGAGTTAGCTCAACTTTCTAAAATAAACCACTACTTTACTGATAGTGAGCAACTACCGTCTCCAAAGCACAGCTATCCCCCTCCCCACCCCACTCAAACCACCGGTGAATAAAACTGTGGTAGCCAGAACCACTGTAGTGCAATGACGCAGTGCCTACAGCTGATGATGATGATGATGATGAGCATCAGGTCCATCCTCTTCTGTTCTTTCCACTTCAAGGCTTTAAATTTAATTAGATAAACTTTGGTTTTGGGGCAGTGGAACACCATCAACACTGCTCTTTCTGTCTTTGAAGATGATGTGCTAGTGAACTGACAAGCAGAACGTCATATTTGTACTCTACATTTAGAATCTTCGTAGGAGATCTTCGTGCACATACCTATCAACTGTGACGGCGATTGATCTTGTCATTGACAACTGATCGTCGGCTTATGAAATTTCTACCTGAAATTACGTTCTTTGGTGCTTGTTTTTCTCCGGAAACAAGCAAAACTCACGTGTTCGACACATGGGGCCATGAATCTGGAATGTGGTCTGTGGCGCCTGATGCTTTGAAACTCAGGCCATATAGCTGTGTAGCGTATGCGCTGTCATGTCTACACCGTTTCTTGAGTGAGTGATTCGATCACTAACGAACCCAGAATGGCATCACAATGGAATGTGTTGCAGAGCGATCACATCATTTGCGGAATCTCTTGAGTGCATAGCTGACGTGTTGCGCGTTTAAAACAAAGTGTTGAATTCTGTCGGTCGGCTGGTCCAGAATTACAGCACTCTAACCATCAGCGAAATCAACCCTTGATCGTTTGGTCGTCCCCAAACCGCTAGTACGTACTAATCTCGAAATGCCCATCATACTGAAGACGTCTTTCAGTTATCGCCTGTACAACAGTATTTCTGTCCAGAGCACAGGAGGGTTCTGCTCGATTTTTGGTGTGGTAAGAATTTCGACATCTTTGGCGGTAGGATTTGCTTGAATATTCCCATCGTTTCAACAAAAGTATTGAATGACGAGCATCAATGGTTTCAGGATCTCGTCATCAGGTCGGTATACATCGAATGGTTAAATAACGAAATAAACAGCCAAGACTGGTCACCAGATTAAAAAGCGCGGAAACGCAGCTAATTGGATGGCAGTGAAACCCAAGTTCAATGCGATTTGATTTTATAAGATAGTCTGGAGGGACGTTACCCTATGGGGTCGATCGATTCATGCCACTTGACCAAGGTTGTGAGTTCTTACGAACCGTTTTTGACGTACCATATTTCGCCATCACCTTGCTACTCCTTCGTCCGTAGTCAATCCTGCCTTTGAATCAATACTTATGAAGGCATGATATCCGTTCGCTGCAAAGACATTGATTAGCACAATCACCAACCCACCGCTACGCACTCCTACACTCCACAATAACGCACTGATGACGTCACCTCGATTGGTGATGAAACGTTTGCAATCAAATTGCCCAGCTCAGCGAACAGGCCAACGACCATATTGATTAGTAAACACGAACTTAAGCAGTTACAAGTCAGTAGACAGGAAACTAAACATCGCATATGCATATAGTCGTTAACAAATGAACAGTCTTACGCGTTCTGTTGAATTTTCCTCTCTATTCTATTAACACTCCAAAGCAGTTTCACGATTTCCGTAATAAGCTTCACCTCCCGTCAGATGCGTTGAGGAGCTTGGCAGCCAACCATAGACTACTCGCGTGCTTCATCAGTAGTATCCTCCGTTACAGTGGTGGTCTGTTAGATAGTCGGTCGTTTGGCTGACGTCAATAATGTGTAACACAGTCGAGTTTTTGACGAAGCCAATGAGTTCAGTGATATTCTGGCAAGAGATATACTCTCTTGGTGAATCACCGTGCCGTGCGCCCGAATTATTTAACTGAACAACAGCGTCTCCTTGGTAGAGCTGCAGTTCTTAGCCACGTATCACTGATGTAGTGTGAGGAACAAGGCGGTTCGATGCAATCTCAGAATAAGTTCAGTATGAACGGGCCAGGCGGATTGCCCGTAAAGTAGGCTGAGACCAACGTTGTGGACATAGAATGAAATCAAACTGCCAAGTACCTCGCAGCTTCTCAATAAATCTCGACAGTGACGATGCGCAACGACCGAGTTTGGGATCAAACTGCGAACTTGACAAGGGTCACTTTCTCGGTTCTCAACGTCTGGAAGCTTCGGCTACTCTATCCGTTGTGTATTTCTACTATGAACCAACATTTCCAAGCGCCCAGAATTCCGCATTAACTAGAGCTCAAATCCATTCATTTTGAATAAAACCCTAATCATAAGGAGTACAAGGTATACGAAAACTCTCCGGTCTCACCAATTTCGAGCACTTTTCGGAACTTTAATCAGATTTATCTGAGTACTATAAACTGCTTAAGTGTCCGACTCCAAATAAATGCACAACTTATCAACATCGTAGCTGGAACGCGATCCCAAGACAACGATGCGTCCGGGTTTATGTCAAGGTTTCCAATTTCATACAACGGTTTTTCTTGTCTTTTACGCATATTCGTGAACGTGTGCAGAATGCGTTTTGATTGAATCCAACGGGCACAATTCACTGACTCCACTCCATTGTTCCGCTCTCGTGTATTTCCTCCCTTTGCAAATTCATGCTTGGGAACGTGTGATCTCTGTGCATACCCACTGTAACTCAAGGAGTAGCGCTGCAGGTTGTGAAGGACTTTGTTCACCTCGGTAGTTGTATTAACTCTGACGGAAATGTGTCTGATAAAGTCAGTTCAATAATCTCAGAGGGTTTTTTGTCACTTATGGTGTCGGAAAAGTATATCGCTGGGCTCCAAGGGTCACGTTCATCAGAATAAATTACGGGCTATATTCTGTAGTTGTGGGAGGGCCTCTACGGGCGAATAGTCCAAGACTTCGCCCTGAACGCTACAACAAACTTGTAACGAGGTAATTTGAAAACGGCGTTTGGTAGTGCATCGAGTATTCAGTCGCGGAAAATGTCCAGAACCTTCATCTTTGGCTCTCCTACGCATGCCGAATCATCGTTTGCCGTGCTTCTTTCAGGAGGTGGACAACGTGTAACCTGGCAGAGGGGAATTGAAATGCGGTTCGTCTTCCACAATGGGTCCTGTGCCTCGTTGTAAACTTCGCAAGATATGACTGCCACGTGACCGGTTGGTTAACAGTTTCATGTTGTTTACTACACAACTGCGCGTCTGCTGAAGGCGTGGCTCTGGGCGTGACCAGCTGCTGACCTAGTCTCAAGAATCGGGCCATCTACACATGTTTATTTCACTGATCATCAATCCTCACGGAGGGTCCGATAGTTTTAGAGGACTTGAAACGTAATCAGATGTTGCTCAGGAAGATTCGGTCTAATCCTGAGATGTTGGGCCACACAGGGTCTTTCGTCCCATCGGGTGGGCTCTGAGGGAATCGTTCATGTTGCACGTTCTGACTACTCACGAGTATTTAATCACTCTGACGAATTTAACGGCTAATCACACCTTCATAGCGGGGTGTTGACTAGTTGGCTGTGGATTCGGGCTTAGAAAATATTAGCCTATTTATTTGTTTGTTTTGGATGCTGAAACTTACCAAGAGGCTTCCTGAGAGCCTTGATGCCCTTCCTTACGTGACACCCTCTTTCATTTTCCAGACCAGATCCGAACCGTCCTGAACTCGGACAAAACACTTCGAGCCCTATCCGAAACCCTGTACAACAAACGTAGCATATTGGTCATGGGACGCGGGAGTAACTACGCCACCTGTCTTGAAGGTGCTCTGGTGAGGATTTTTTCACTTACCTCGCTTGTCACCCCTGTTATTGGAGCTTTTGTTTTTTTTTAGATCGCTCTTGTATTTCCGTCGGTACGTAGTCTCTGAATCATCGTTTCCAGTTTATTTAGACCGGTTATTTCGATGATTGGTTCAACTTTTGACTGCTGATACGCGAACACTCCTTTTTCTGGATCGTTTTGGAAGGGGCCTACGTTGTTGTCCGGGGAGGTGTCATTCTCCCTCATTTAGGTATGCCTTTAGTGGATTGTGACTTCCGGGTTGGACCACCACCATTTGTTCACCCGTTATTCACGCCTTTTTCCCCCAAGGCATCTGTATTTCACTTTCTGTTTCGAAATAAGATTCTTATATTCAGTAGTATATCGCTGTTGTTTCTGTGTTCAGCTTTTCCGCACATGAGGGCATAATCCTTTGATAGTGACTTGACCTTTGAGATGAAGTGAAGCTCTTGTTTAAACTAGCATGCAGTTGAGACGAAGTGTACGTGTGGCCACAACAGTTGGACGACTTAAGGACGACAAGGTTAAAACACTCATGCTTTGGTGATCTGTGCTAAAATCTTTTCAACACAAGTTCGGCCTCAGCCACTTGATCCGTAATGCATCACTCTTTGCTAGCCGAATCTCAACCGTGACCCGTCTCAGTCACACGACTAATCTTGGCAATGATAGCTGCCATGCAACAAACTGGCTAGTTTTTCATTCGTTGAATACGTTTTTGCGACTATCCCGATTTCCCCCTCGTTCTCTACTTTTCTCAAGAAACTGAAAGAACTCACCTATCTGCATGCGGAGGGAATCCTCACCGGGGAACTCAAGCACGGTCCGTTAGCAATGGTGGACAGCGAAAGTGCGATTATCATGTTAATTCCACACGATGGTTTGTTCCAGGTGAGCCTATCAGTGTTCTTCCCGTAGGATGACTGGTTCTGACAGTCTGGCGAGATGGTTGAATCGGAGGCTTGTATGCCTAGGGATCATCATGACGTGTACAGTAATCCCCATTTACAAAACGTAGTGTCACAAGGGTGCGAGATGGTCCAAGTGGTTAGAGCTCGAATTTAATGACCGGAAGGTCCGTGGTTCGAACCCGACCTCTGCTTCTCGCCTTCCCCTGTCTAGGCTTGGGCAGTATCTCAGCTCTCCTGCTTCCTTCCTGTTCACCGAAAGTGTTGTAGCTTAACGATTGATTGATTGATTTGGCTCACTGATTTTGAGTCTCTCGTTAATACCAAGTTGATTTTCAGCTAGATGTACATCTACACTAGCGCGCAATTGGTTTGGTTTGGGAAGCAAGGTTGATGGAATCTCGGAAGCTACGTCTACCTAATGAACCCCCAAAACGACAAAACAAGTTGCCGGCTGTCGACTGCTTTTCATTAACGCCATAAGTATCAAAAAGGAAAAGCCACGCACACTTGGTTACCCAGACTGGCATCGCATAGTGCAAGTGGATCGATGAGCATTGATCCGCACCGTGGGGCTAATCAACCAAAGCAACGAGAAATCCCCTCGATCCTGATTGTTCTGCTGAGTGTCAATTTTACAGGCGTACATCATCATCATTCAGGGCAGTACATCAGAGGCGAAGAGCATCACGGAGCTGCCCAACAAACGTGATGAAATAACCCTGTTGTAAAAGTACGAAAAGTGGGATGGTGGCTGATAAGCCGATCGAGAGTAGCACTGAGGTGAACAAGTCTAACCATCTTCATAGAATGAGGTATCGTCAAAGGTTTACACCTGGTATCATTGGTGATCCGTAGCCAACACAGGACCTGCGTACAACAACCAACAAATGTCTTCAGAAGGATCGTTCGCATTCTGTGTCCTGTAAGACACAGCACTCACGGAACGATATGGGCACCTGGAATGTCTGTCGTGGCTCACGTCAGTCGTTGTTCTTATAGGTAAGCTCTCAGCGGCAACATCCTTCAGGTGGTAGCTGCCATGCTACCCGAAGGAAGCATGAGGACTGGGATACTGCCAGGTTGCCCAAGCCTAGACAGGGGAAGTCGAGAAGCTGAGGTCGGGTTCGAACCACGGTCCTTCCGGTCAGTAAATTCGCGCTCTAACCACTTGGGCCATCTCGCCCCAGGTAGTGGTTTTCTTCAGATGAATTAATTTGGTTATACTGAAGTGAAGCGCGCGTATTACTGTTAGTGTTGATGTTGATGAATGCAACTGGGAGGTGACGTTGTTCTCAAATTTTGAGTATGCCTAGGTGCCTGAGCAAGCAGATCATCATCATCATCAACGACAGCATGACATCAGTGTTCAACACCAATGCTTCACTGCCGTACAACCAGGCAGGCAGATATTTTCCATCTACCAGGTAGCTCATCTATGTCTTCCATTCCCCTTCTGCGTTGTAGAAATCAATGAATGCTCTTCACGAAGTACGGGCTCGAAGGGTATGTCTTCTTTAAAGCTTTCCATTTATCTTTCATTCAGTCAACATATTTGCGATCGCTTATAAGTGGTCGTCAACCTACTACTTATCCTCTGTCCGAACCAGTGTCGGGCAAACTTTCACCTTAGCCATCACGGGTACACCGCATGAGTTGGCGCGAAAATTGTGCCCCTTCCAAACCTGACCATTATATGCTGTGTACGAAACGGCGATAGCATACTGGTTTCCGACTCTAGTGGCCGTCTCGTGTGCACCATGCACCTTACTTAGTCATGACTACGAATACAACTCACTCATCTGTCGAGGCAGCTCATTTCTTTGCTGAAAGTTCTTACCATAGTGTTGAGTATCTCAGCCATCATGCTTTCATTTAGCTGCGTGGCAGCTGCGCACCGGAATGGTCTTGTGAACTAACGTTATTATGAGTGCCACGATTAAAGTTATCTGATATCTATACGCAATTCAACACCGTTCGTTTCAGCTATAACGCCCTTCCGGTGCCTAGCTACCATGCCACCCGAAGGAAGCACGAGGACTGGCATACTGCCAGGTTGGGTTCCGTAGTAGAATTTAGACTCGAATCATACATATCTTTGTAGTTTTTTTACTTCACCTGGTCTTTTAACTGATGTGTGCTGACATAACATTCAGCAGTAAATATTTCTAAAACCATTTTCGCATTTTATCGTAGGTTGCAATGTTTACCGACCCATACGTTCAAGCACTTCATCGATGTACGTAAACTGACTGACGAACAAAACACAACTAAGTTGTAGGGTTGAGTTAAGCCGTACCTCGGTGAGTACGACAACTGCTGGTACCATCAATGTCGCCACGCTGGGACCCCAAATCGTTCAGCATGGTATGTGGAACTGACGACAAAACGAAACCGTTTTTTTTTTGGGGGGGGGGGGAACTTGCTCTAGATGCAGCCCTCAATTCCTTTTCATTTTGCTTCTCTATCTCGAAGAACTTGATTAGATCCATTGACACGGTCGTTCGGCAGTTTAACACCGGTGACACTGGTCTGACACTAGTTGTCCAATCTGTGATGGCTATGTACAGACTGCATGGTCTTCGTATCCAAGTAATATGCGTATGTGACGCATGCATCGCGTCTTTGGGGGTTACGGAATTTCTCGGCTCGGGGCACTCCAAGAAATGACCTAAATGGGACAACTTAGCAAATCTGGGCGACCCTATTCGGTGTTCACTCGTAGGAGAGGTGGGGATTGCGTGTACTTTTGTGCACTTGTAATAGGTCAATTCAATTCGAACAAAGAAATCTCGTCACTTCACTTTTCTTCTCTCCCGTTCCGCAGGGGAATCCCATTGTGATTTGCAGCGAGAACGATCCGGAGATCCCCAAGGACAATATGGCCACCATTGAACTTCCCAGTACCGTGGACTGTTTGCAAGGCATTCTGGCCGTTATCCCACTACAACTACTCGCGTTCCACATCGCCGTTCGACGAGGTCTTGATGTAAGTTTGCGCGTTTGTGCTGCTGGCACGTTTGTTTTCGATTGGTTTGCACAATGCTGCGATTGTTTGGTCCGTTCGGTGAATTCCGATGTGTAATGCATCCTCTCCAGCAAACTGTGAGGAGGTTCATGAGGAAGCCATCCCGCGGCATTGTTTTATCCTCCTTGTACATCCAAGGAGGCCTTTCGTAGTTTCCCAGTCCATTTGTTAACGGACGTTGCTTTCTTCTTGGCAATACTCCACTGCAGATAATGGCCTCTGATTTACAGCGCGATTAGTCCACCTTCCAATGTGGAGTTGGATTCATCGTTCACAGTGAACCGAGACTAGCACCGGAAGAGGTTGATGCATGCTGAATGGCTCATCACGGAAGCACTACATGACTGTCACATTCACTTCCTTATTGACCCTCCAAAATATGTCCTCGGTGATGACAGGGGGTATTTGAATGCCTTTCTAATGGATCGCTTCCTGGATTGTGATGCACGGCTTTGTGGACTGCTGGTTTATGGATTGCTCCATTAGCTTAAATTTTTTTCAACTGGATCTACCGCTGCTTACCCGAAGCCTCGGTCTAAAGGTAGTTCTCCTTGCTTTTCGCACCACGGAAAGCGTTTTCTCAGTTTTGTTGGCAGTCTCGAGGTTCTTCCAACCGGCTGCACTTATACCGAAAGCAGTATATTTCCGATTCCTAGTTAAAGGATGTATTGATTTTTTTAATCGCACCTACGCAAGGGTAATCCTTTTAATTTCCAAAAGCGGTTTCTATCTGATGTTCTTAATCGCGAGACCTTCGATTCTAGTTCATAAATTTCAGGCAAAGTTGGTGCCACTCGGAGCTCATAGTTCTATTGATCGAGCTCAAACTTAGCAGATCTTTGTTAGACGTTACAAATGTACTTTTATGTATTGCACTATTACCACTTACACGTCCCCAAGACATTGGGCATCAAAAGGATCGGTCTATCAGGTGGTGTGACCTCACGATCTTCCGGTTAGATTTTTCACTTTTCATCATCAGCGACAGCACATCAGTGCTCAGTATCGTTGACTCGCATGCTTGCAACCGTAATTTACTCTCGCCACCTGGAGTCAAATGAGTAGTATCGAAAAACAGTAATTTCACGAATAACCCCAGTCACACAGAACGCGGACGTTGAATTCCTTGACCAGTGCCCACCCCGGTGGAGTTGAAATAAGGCGAAACGCATCTATATAAGCTGAAATAGAATCTTATTTTTATGTTGGCATAAGCATATGGCTGAGATTATGATTCTTGAGCTGTTTCAAAAAAGCTCTACTCAGGGTTTTGTCGAGTTGCATTTACCCCACTGCCACACCTTTCTGTGTCCGATATACGTCTGACTGATACCACGAGACTCGAGTAGTGTTGTCACTCAGTTGCCTAGTCGCCGCTCTGTTGGAGTTCGAATTGACCCCAGCTCGTTTCACTCCCAATACTATTTTGCATCACGACAATGACACTGTCTCCACTCTCGTCCGACCATTTAAAATACAATTATTAGAAATTTGCGTCTGTTTTCTTTCCTAATCCGGAGTGTGAGTTGGCAAACCGTCGTTAGCACGCTTACAGCTGTGTTCACTGAAGTGGGTAAAAATGTCTGTCCACTTGGGGGGAACACTGGCTGATTGGTGCAGATCAATGAGTTTTTGTTTAATCACAAATAGCACTGTTTGTTCATTGGTTTATTTGTTTCTGATTGTTTTATCTTCTGTAGGGCTCTGCAACGCCTAGAGTTTGTCGAACATTAGTTAATTGGCGTTGTCTCAACTAAGGTAGTAACGTAAATAAGCGGAGCTTGCTGCGTGACAGAGACCCGAGCTCGTTTTTAGTTAGGAACGTTGATGCTTGACTCGAGGTCGGTTGCTCGGATCGACATCCTTTTTTAGCTCCCTGTGTTTCAAACCTGCGGATCTTCGGCATCACCCTACATTCTGCATATTCTGATAACCCAGGGAACTAGTTTAATGTGAACTTTCGCTAGGAAATTCCGACACTGCGATAAACGGTTGGTAGGTCCTCTGTGGTGTATTTCAAAAGGGCTTGAGATTCCCTGTCGAACCCCCCTGTGCTATTTCACATTCGCCATATAGCCTCACTGGCTTTCTGTTCAAATGTATTGGGTTGTCACAATCAGTCGTATGCAAATGGTAATGTATTGTCGTTTCCCTAGTTCGAGTATACTCGCCAGATGGAAGTGGATTCGCCTTTTTCGAGACACTGAGATCATCTTTGTCTGTTCAAAACTATCTAGTATATCCGAAGTTGTAGGCAAGCACCCCCTGGGCTTTATTCTATCGCATGGCAGCCATGTCGATGTTTTCATTCTAACCTTTCGGGTTACGTTTTGAAACCTCAAAGCAGTCTGCCACATCTCTCTGCCTGACTCTCCGCTCCACCGTCCCCATTCTCGTTTGGATGTTTTTGTTCTACGCCTTTCAGGATGTGGGGTCCACGTGACCCCCCCTGCGCTTAACTGAAGACATCGCATGAAATGGTGGCTGGTCAATGTCAGTGGCGCTTATGTTGTTAGTTTCTTTCCTGGTTATCTGACTGGGCGCTTGGAGGCGTGGGCACCTCGGAATGCTTGCGATAGGTCACACTAGCTCCCTTCCCTCACCCGCTCTTTTCTTTCCATCCTAAGTTAGCTCCACTTTGTGGTTGTACGGCAATGAAGCCTCAGTGTTAACACGTATTGCTGTCTCTGACGATGATGATGCCCACTCTCACATACTCACACCTCAATTGCGTTCTCACTCAATTTTTTTTCAAATCACTGATTTTTTTGTCACCTTTCCCACGCTTGCCTTCTCGAATAAAGGTTGACTGTCCCAGAAACCTTGCCAAATCAGTCACGGTTGAGTGATCATTTGGTTCAGCCTCACTGTGGGCGTCGGTTAGAAGAGTCCGAATCTACTGGAACATGTTGAAACCAACGAACAGACCTCGAATCATTCCGTGCGCCAATCATTGATTTCCCTCGATAATTCGTTCTCATGTCATTTCTTTTTGTCTGTAATTGGGGTTTCGTGTTTGCTTGTGCACCCCTATTTTGCCTCAACACATTCCGGGTGATACTTTGTTTTTTTCTCCGTATTTCTTCATTTTCTCAGGATCCTGAGTATGTGATTATGTGCCTTACTTCAATGTTAAACTGTGTTGGTTCTCTCCGTCTCCCATTGTCTGTGCACCACTCCCGGTGTTATTCATTACGTGTTGGCTACACCCCACCCCCTCTAACAGGTTGATAGGAACAGATGAAAGAATTGAATTGTATCTGGTGAAGTAATGTTTAACGTAAAGTGTTTTATCGTACGAAGCTGTGTTTTCTATGTGCGACTGTCGTATTCACGGCGCTTTCAATTCTGATCGGAATGGACGTTCTACACCATGTAGCGATTCTTGATGCGCGTCAGGTTACTGGTAGGTACTTGGAAAGTCGACACGGGATACAATGTGCCTGTCTTGTCTTTGTAGTACTCCCGATGTTGCTGAGCCAGCTAGGTTAGAAAAAAAGCAAAGACCATTGTGCAATACTTAAAAAAAGCGAGAATGAAATGTTGACAAAAGTGACTGGTTGTGATCAGTTTCGTTTATCTAGACGATCTGGTTGTTATATCTCTCCCAGTAGAGGTTACTATAAGGAAATGATCTTAAAGTGGCATCTGTTTGGAGTTGCTTCTTGGATGGATGCCGTGTTTCGGTGAATTTGGTATTTGAAACCACCGTTATTGAAAATTTGAGTCCTTTGGTTGTGTTTAGTTATCTAAACTGAACCTACAAGTAGATGAAGGTCACCGCGTCTGTAGTTGAACACGCTAGAATGGGCTGGTCGGGTGTATTAATTGACACCTGACCAAACCCGTTCAGCGTGTATCGATGGAATAGCAGTGGCGCCCTCCTCACCTGACGAATTCCTGGTGTTTAAACCCCGGTACGGTCACGGGTATCCACTTTAGACAGACACTAGTGAGAACGAGGATCGAGTCTAGCGTTGGTGTGGACTGAGTAGAATAATTGCAGCAACACAAGAGGGAGAGAGCTGTGGATATACATCGTACGAATCCCGCAACTACCTACAACGTGAAGTATTTTCATCCCGTTCGAGGCAGTACACTCAATAGCCCATGACGGCCTAGTTATGCGAGATGGTTCAAGTGGTTAGATCGCGAATGTACTGACCGGAAGGTTCCTGGTTCGAACCCGACCTCTGCCTCTTGACTTCCTGTGTCTAGGCTTGAGCAACCTGGCAGTATCCCAGCCCTCGTGCTTCCTTCGGGTGGCATGTCAGCTAGACACCGGAATGGTGTTACAGCTGAACGGTCTTCTAGTTACGTGATGATCAGCTCCGTTAGTGTGAGATGATGCTGAAAACGTAATGAACTTAAAATGCCCGCATTCCAGCCGGGCTATGTTTCCACGACAACTAACCGAGTTCTGAACACAGAATGCCCACAACATGGCTCGTGAAATTCCGTGAAGATTCGGTTTTCCAGTAGCCCATCAATATCATAAAAGGCGATGCTACTGATCGCTTCTCAGCTGAAGCAGGTACGACTAAAGCCGAAAGTCAATAGTGGTCCCGTTGTGTATCAGCCAAAATACAGTGAATTTTGGGTAAGGGAACGTTCAAGCAATCTGCTTCTTGACTTTACTTGAAATGGGACAGGTTTCACCACAATGTCACCCTGAAAGTATATTTATCACTCTCCAGTGCCAGGAATGGCTTTCAACGACATTCTATGGGAAACAAGTTCAGCCATGGTCGGCCGTTAAATACAGTGTGTTTTGTGTCGGGTTCGGCTAATTCGTTATACGATCCTTTGGTTAACCTTATTGAGGTCAGCTTTTAGGTTGCCTCCATCTCAGTCCGTAAGCAAACTACCTTAAAAGTAAGGGTTGTCAAGCCAAATTAACATTTTCTGATAACTGTTATATGGACCGAACTGCTTGTGGGCTATATGTTGTTTTGGGAAATTCTCATGAGTGATGCGGCCATTTAGACGTCTTATGTATACGCTTTTTCCAGCACTTGGTTGTCCTCATGTGACCTGATAATTACGGGCATCCATTTGGCCAAAAATTCTGTTCGTCAACCTTGTGTATACTGCTGGTTGGGGCGAGAAGACACAGTGGTTAGAGTGCGAATTTACTGACCCGAAGGTTCGGGGTTCGAACCCGACATCTCGACTTTCCCTGCTTAGGCTTAGGCAAGCTGGCAGTATCCCAGCCCCCTGCTTACTTCGGGTAACACCGAAATGGTGTTACAGCTCAACGATTCTTTTTTTCTGTTCACACTGTTGCAAGCATTCCTAAATTCATAATCGGGGTCGTCACATTGCTGAGGAGTGTTAGCGAAGCTGACGTCGAAATTCGCTCATCGTGTAGTGGTCCCATCTGTCACAGTTGTGTTCAGATGAAGAAGGATACAAAATGAAGATTAGTGTCAGTGACGCTGGCACTAAAAGTGCTTAATGGAATGGGAGTTCGGGTGTCATGTTCGGTCCAACCAGCTATTGTCATATGACAGTGAACTATCAGTACCAACACTGATGGTGACGATGACTTTATCTGCTCAGTGGTTAATAGTATGACCATTAGTCCTCGCTGAGGCCTTTACAATAAACTTTCAGACTACTTGTCAGTAGGCAGGTGAGTAAATTAACAGCTAGTTAAATTGAGAAATACTTGTATTCAAATCCACCAGCTGCGCAAATTTGTTGTCAGATGCTTGTCCCGACGGTAGCAGCCTAAAGTGTCGGCCAAATCGTCATGAGTTCGATCCATTGACAACCACTTGGTTAGTTTCAATCGAAATGATAGTAGTGCTGCATCTGAGCGTTTCCGGGCCCTCTTCTATCTGTGTTGATTCAATGGGACTCCCAACCAGTCCGGTTGAGTTTCCTTCACTGTATCGGACTATCGTACTCCATGACTCTTGATGCCGTTTATGGATTAGTATTAATCCTTTCTGTTTTGCAATGTTTACCTCGCTATATGCATTTCCAATACGGCGTACTATTATTGGACAAAATAGTAGGATATGTCTACCCGAAGTGAATTGTACACGACAATTTCTAGTCTTAACGCTTACCAGATCAAAGTCCTTCAATTCTTCTGATCTCTCGTAGTCTTTATTGTACAATGTTACACCAAACCGATCTGTGTAACGTTCACGACCAGTTTTTCTATTGTTCAGCACAATGTCAGGAGCGTGTGAATAGTAGGTGGGGAAGATTCCCCCTTTGTGGTACGGGCTCATGCTGGAACTCAACACTGCTGACCGGTAATCCTGAAATTGCTTCGCAGTAAATGCTCCATACGTCTGACCGTAGTCATATTTTTCCAACGGCACTTGTCCTCTGTATCTATTATAAAACAAAATGTTTTAATTTATTACCGGCTGCTCACCTCGGAACAAAGCAAGGAGAAATATACGTGGCGTGGTGTGTCGTTATCAGTCTATCTGACGAGGGTTTCTCCATTCATATAGCTGAAAACGAAACGAAACTGCTCAGACGGTTGAAAGTGGATGGGGGCACTCGGTAATGATAAACGTGAAGTGTTCAAGTAATGAAGATTGCCCTTTGACTTCCTAATTTTTGACAAAACGATGGTTTATGCACCAGTCGTCGCCTGCAAGTCTGTTTGGATGTCAAAGCTTTTGAACAAATACAAAGTCGTCAGTACCTTCCCCTGTTCTCCCGAAACTAGTGTTTCGCATTTATTACCTCATAAACTTTCTGGGCTTTGCTTTATTCGACATAATCAGGTCAACCACTGTGTCACCCTCACAGTCACGCGCAATTCGAAGGAGACCCTTGCGATATCACTGTGCCAAGGCGACCAGCACGTCTGCCATCATCGTTCTTAGGCATGGCCAGGACGATACAATCGCTAGGCTTCAACGGATAGCCTGTGGTACGGCGTACTTACTCGAATTTCCATGGGTGTTATTATTGCAGTTAAACATCGAACCTATGATTTAGTCGCAAGCGACTTAATTCAATCTCCCCGATAGGATGTTCTCCAACTGTGTGTGCAGCACAAAGCCCCATGTTCCACTAGGCATGATACCCTAGATATATCAGCATGTTCTCCTGACTTAATACACTACTTATAATTTTCCGGAATCTCTGACAGTCCAATACATATTTCGTCCTCGTGGCTCACCAAGTAATCATAGTGTCGGCTTTCATCAACTTTATGTTCAACTTGTACGCAACTTCACAGCACATTTATGTGAAGAGTTTGCGTAAACAAGGGATTCAATTGAGTCTTTCGTGAACACCTGTATACTGCGCAAATTAGTGTCTCACCAATTTCGTGAAATTTGTTTTCAAATGGACCATGATATTGATGGTAAATCATGGACTGCGTCCACCTGATCAGCCTCAAGAAGGATGAAACTGGTAGTGGGTTGTTCAAAAGCTTTCGGAAACCATAGGAATAATGCCTTATGCCAAGACAAGCTGATCTCTGTTCTTCCGTCATTTTTCCTATAAATAGTCAAAGTAGATTTCCCCCGTTGAAAGTCTTTGATCGTCTGGTCCACGAAAGACAGCGTAAAAGCCTAGAACATAATTTGGTCGTGAAACGTCAAATTTCAAGGCCGACTAGCACTTCGAAAATTAAATAAATAGCAGCCTTCTGTACATCAATAAAGGCCGTGCCGAGCTCAGAAGCGGTCGCTAAAGGGCGTCGAATCTGTGCATGTAACAGTGATCTAGCTTCGAAATAGTCATCATGATATGATAATTCAAACTGCAGGTGAAGAAATTTACAATCCCTTGTTCCAACTGTCATAAGGCACTTTATGAAGACGTCAGACAAAAATGGATGACACATAAATTGATCTGAGTTTATGTAGTCGGGTTAGGTTCGAAATTGTCGGCACTATAACCCCTCAGGTGTGAAATATGCGGTGGAGCACTAAAGAGGTAAAGTTGTCCGGGCGAGGTTCAGTCCACGCCTGGTGAGCTTTTTCTCTGAGAGAAGAGCTCGGCCAATTTCTTCTCTATCGGTTGGGTCAAACTCCAGTATGGTGACACCGCTGCACAAACTCGTCGGCTATCCAGCTGTTTAGTGTCTGGATGACTACATGGTTTGCCAGGAGAATCTGTATTCCGTTAGCCGACGCATGATGAGCTCCCTAACCACGGTATCTGTGGACAAGGTACTAAGTATGTTGAGGCATGCTGAATGCAAAAGTTCGACAACAGATGGGGCGACTGCGTCGGTGTTCTAGCAAAAGGCGGTAACCCTGAGAGTTGGCTTTGGACAGTCATGCAAGCAGAGTGCGACACATGTACTCTTGGGCAATAAGGAGTTAGAACGTGAGTTTTCGTTTCCTTATTAGACCCAGATAAGAAAGAAAGTAAGTTTAGGGTGGCAGGCCGTTTGCTGTGAATTTGATGGTGTATCACTCTGGTGAGCTCATCAACCCTCCATTGTGTTCAATCTAGGTTGCCCGTATCGTAATTGGGCCACAAACAATGTTC